AATAAAGAAAGTAAAAAAAAAATTAAATTTGCATTCTGATGTTTCATCTTTATATAAGAACAGATAAATCATATTGTTGAATTAGCTGCTGAACGCTGTTGGAGAAAGTCTCACTGTGCTTCTGACTTTCTCCACTATAAATTTATGCTGAGCTCATACAGCTTGGCTCTTTCCTCTGCAAAAGTTAATTACTTCAATACCCTCATAACCACACTCTCCCGCGAACCCAAATGACTATTTCACACATTTAACTCTCTTCTTCGCCCTGCTGTTCCTCCTCCACCTACTAACTTGACCGCCTCAGACTTTGCAACTCACTTCACTGACAAGATCTCTACAATCAGAGAAGAGATCTCTCATCTTTCTTCTTCCCCTTACAATACTTCCCCTAACTTCACTCCCTCTGCTGTTCTATGTTCATTCGCACCCGCTACATTGGAAGAGGTTTCTGCTCTGCTCCAGTCCTCCTGCCCCACCACCTGCTCCCTAGATCCAATTCCCTTGCATCTCATCCGTACTCTGTCTTCTTCTCTTTTTCCACCTCTCACTAAAATTCTCAATCTCTCTCTCTCCTCTGGTATATTTCCATTGCCCTTCAAACATGCAACTGTAACCCAAATTCTAAAGAAGCCCAATCTTTACCCTAACTCCCCATCCAACTATCGTCCTATCTCGCTACTGCCTTTTGCATCCAAGATCCTTGAAAAAATTGTGAATGCGAGATTGACAGACTTCCTTGAGTCCAACTCTCTGCTAGACCCGCTTCAGTCTGGTTTCCGCGCTAAGCACTCTGTGGAAACGGCACTGACCATCCAATGATCTACTCGCTGCAAAATCTCGTGGTCACTACTCTATCCTAATTCTCCATGACCTGTCTGCAGCTTTTGACACTGTTGATCATCAACAGCTTCTTCTCATCCTCTGCAATATCGGTCTACAAGATATTGCTCTCTCCTGGTGCTCCTCCTACCTCTCCCAGCGCTTTCAGTGTTTCTTTCTCTGGCTCTGCTTCTTCTCACCAACTCCTCTCTGTTGGTGTTCCCCAAGGTTCAGTCCTTGGTCCCCTACTGTTCTCCATCTATACTGCCTCCCTTGGTAAACTCATTAGCTCCTTTGACTTCCAATATCATTTCTATGCAGATGAAACGCAAATCTACTTGTCCTCTCCTGATCTCTCCCCGTCCCTCTTGACTAGTGTCTCTCACTGCCTCTCTGCTGTTTCTAACTGGATGGCTGCCCACTTCCTTAAACTAAACTTAACCAAAACTGAAATTCTGGTCTTTCCTCCCTCAAGTGTTACTCCTGTGTCTGTTTCCCTCCAAGTCAACGGTGCTATGATCAGCTCCACCACGCAGGCTTGCTGCCTAGGTGTTCTCTTTGACTTCCGACCTCTCCTTCAAGCCTCATGTTCAATCTATCGCCAAATCCTGTCATTTCCATCTCAAAAACATTGCGAGATGCGACTAAGGTGTTGGTCCATTCCACTGTCCTTTCTCGCCTTGACTACTGTAATCTGCTTCTCAGTGGTCTTAAGTGCCCCCAACTTGCGCCGTTACAGTCCATAATGAATGCGGCGGCGAGGCTCATCTTCCTGTCCGCCCGCACCTTTCATGCTTCACCCTTCTGTCAGACCCTACATTGGCTTCCTATAAAATATAGAGCTCAATTCAAAATTCTGGTTCTTGCTTTCAAATCTCTACATAATGTTGCGCCCACCTATCTATCCTCCCTTATACACAAGTATGTCCCGTCTAGGCCCTTACGCTCTGCTGGAGACTTACGTCTACCTTCTATCCGTACTCCCACCTCTGATGCTCGCCTTCAAGATTTCTCGAGGGCTGCACCGTTCCTGTGGAACTCGCTTCCCTCCTCCATTAGATGCTCACCCAGTCTCCACTCCTTCAAAAATTCGTGAAAAACCCACTTCTTCATAAACGCGTATCAATTAAACTGTTAATAGCTTCTGACTGATTCCTCTTCTGCAACTATCACTAATTTAATACTATCCTTACCTTTTTGTGTCATTTTACCCCACTTCCTTTTGCATGTAAGCTCATTGAGCAGAGCCCTCAACCCCTCTGTTCCTGTGTGTCTAACTTGTCTGGTTACAACTACATGTCTGACGGCGCTCTATAAATATCATAATAATAATAATAATAATTAAACTGTATTGGATGAACATCAGGAGACGTGAAGCGAATATTGAAACATCCAAATAACGTATTCCTTATGTGTTGTGTTACTGGCAATTCTTTTTATTAATGTCAGGAAAACAAACAAGAGACAAACACCATGACATTATTTTGTGCTAAAAAGAAAATGTTCTTTGCTGCGTTTTGGTACTTAGAGGGTCAAAGTAACCTATTGCTTTTTTTTTATTTTAATGGTTCATATAATTGTTTCAAATTAGACATAATCAGATTTGCATAATTGAATTAAAAACCATCTCCTTAATATGTAGGTTATGGATAAGGACACACAATGCCAAACTGCTAAGGGAGGGTTCATTAGAAAAACATGAACAATATTTAAGAAGATTAAATTAATCTCATGAGATTGGATGGTAAGATTTGAGGAGGAGTAGTCTGTTCTTAAATTAAAAAGCATTCATATCCAACCCATGCTAAAAAGGGGTTAATGTTCCCTTGCTTTGATCAAAGCTACTTTTTATTCATTGTGTACAGCTCTGAAATAATTTATAGTGAAGTTGAACTCCCAAAACAATCATTAAGAATAATGTAATTAAATAGCTGATTGAGTCTGTCCCTATTGTAGTTTACTATGGTCAGATAATCAATGTTGTTTGCTGTTGATTCTCCTAGGTGCCCTTGTTGAAATATAGAGGTGAAAATAATCAAACTTTTTTAGTGTTGTTTTATTGAATATGGTAAGATATAAATTGTACTATTTATGGACTAGAGAGAAAGCACTGTTTTTTTCCGTAGGGCAATATGGAACTTAAAGTATTCTTTTTAACTATAACATTAGGTTGTGCCAACTGAGCCACTGCAAACAGATTTGTAAATATAATGGGACAAAATTCATGGCTTAGTTATGCTTTAGGGCCTCCTGGTATTGGCAATAGTAAATAAAAGAGAAAAAAACTGCAAATATTATTATCGGCTGCGTTTATCCTATTCCCATTAAGAGCTGTGTTATACAAGAAAGGAAATGTTCATTAGAATGAAAATACTTTTCATAATAAATTACTATAAATTACTGTAAAGCTTTGCTAGCAAATTTAACATGATGTGGTTTCTATGAAACAAATCATACTGGTTGATTTTAGAACTTTTATAAAAAAGCCAACAGGAAAAAAACAAAACGGTAACTGATTCTCTCCATGGCTGAGAAAAGTAATCTAATTATCCATGTTAGTGCTGTTTATTAAAGCGATAAAGAACCACATGTGCAATGTAAGTAAAACTCTTTAGGTCTAGTAGGCCCCGAATATAATGAGAGGAAACTCAGACTTTTTGTACTTATTGAACTTTTCAAATGAGAATGTATCTGGAGGAAAGGGATTTTTCGCAGTAATGATAGCATAACGCCTCACATTAAATTATCTTTATATGTAGTATTTTCCATTTTTCAAATAAAACGTTTACTTGAAAGCTGTTGTATTTAAAGCTACAGTTCACTGGATTTCATCCAAACTGCTTTGGCACGTGTATGGGCACAGGTAAACTTACAGTTCACAGGGCCCTTTTGCCGTGGGGGATCAGGGGCCCCCTGTCCTGGTGTGGGGTCTTCTGGCCACTACTGCTCTTATATTAGTGTATATGAATACATCCCATCACTCAAACACCAGCACAACATGTAAACACACCCCTGTAAATGCAAGCATTACATAAAAACACACCCCTGTATTAAAATGCCCAAGTTATATACAAACACCACTTCATTTACATACCAACACTACACACAAATGTACACACGCATTTAAAAGCCAACACTACATAGAAATGCACACAATTACACTTTTACATGCACACATATACTCTATACAAAAGCATTCAAACTCACAAACATTACTTACAATAAAAACCCTGCAAGAATGGGCAAATGGTAGATCTCCAGCTGGCATAGCATCTTGGGAATTGTTAGACAGATGGGGATCTATAGTTTGCCCACCCTTGCACTAGAAGTGGGCCAAAAAAATTTATTGAACCAGGGCCCTCTCTACATTAGTGCCACCAATGAAGAGGGCAGGAGGTGGATGGGGGGGGAGGAGAAATGGGGGGTATGGAGCATGCAGGGGGCTGAAGTGGGGGACATTGGGGCTTTGTATGCTTAGCAGATGACAACCTAAGATGGAGGGCATTTGCAACCAGTCTAAGGCTATTACCTACATAATGAGCTCATGATAACATTCTTCCAAGTCTACATTAGTCCGACCAATTCACACACAATAAGTGATGAAGTTCAAAGCATAAACGTATTTAGCAACTGAAACAAAATCCATCAGTTTTCCATGACAAGCAACTGATTTAAAAGCTAAAAGTCTTGGGCTCTAATTGAAATGTGTGCATTTTGACAGAATGTATGCCTTCCTACACCTAAACTCCTATAATTTAATTTCCTAAAATAATACAGATTGTATCTTTTAAATTGCACTATATGATACATGATTTCTAATTTAGTTGAAACTTCCTATTAAAAAGTAGATATAAACATGCACATTTTAATAACAAATTCTGTTTAAAGGGACTTGTATCACTTTGAGGCAACTGTCTTATTGAAAAGATTTAGCTTTGAATGAGACAGTTGCCTCACTCTGCAGGCTAAAAAAAATATGATTTTGTTTTTCATAACTACCTGTTATTATTTTTTATTTGTATGCTTCCAGACCCACTTCAGGGGGGCAATAATCTAGCCCAGGGGGTAGTCAACATCTGGCACTCCAGATGTTGTGGCTATATCTCCCCTGATGCTTTGCCAGCATTATTGTTATCATAGGCGTGCACAGCCTATTGCATTAAGGTGTGCACCCTAAAGCACAAACACACGCTGCGTGTGTGTGTGTGTGTGTGTGTGTGTATGTGTATATATCTATATATATATATATATATATATATATATAGATATATACACACACACATACACTGCTGTGTGTGCTGTTAGTGTGCTGTGTGCTGTTAGTGTGATGTGTGTGTGAGGGTGCTGTTAGTGTGATGTGAGGGTGTTTGTGTGTGTGTGTGTTTGAGACTGTGCTGTTTGTGTGTGAGGGTGTTTGTGTGTGTATGTTTGTCCTGTGAGGGTGCTGTTTGTGTGAGTGTCGTGTATTTGTGAGTGTGCTGTTTGTGTGTGTGTGAGGGTGTTGTGTTTTTTTTAAAGGTGCTGTGTGTGTTTGTGAGGGTGCGGTTAGTGTACTGTGTGTGTGTGAGCTGTATGTGTGTAGGTGCTGTATGTGTGTGTGCTATATGTTTGGAGGGATTTGGCAGATTAGTAAATCTTTGCTGCCATGTTCCATCCCTGGTGGTCCAGTGGAGAGTGAACTCTAGCCTGCGGGGCTAGAGTTAACTCTCGCGAGATCTGAGCGTTGCCGCAGCAACACTCAGATATTGCGAGATGAACCTGGCGGAGCTTCTGTCTAGAGCTCCCTGGGTCCTCTCCTGCCTCCCTCCATGCTGCTGTGGGCCGGTGAGGTAGACAGACACACACACACTCACTGACACACTCACACACACACATACATACATACACTCACAGACACACACATTCACAAACACACACTCACTCACACACACACACATACACTCACAGACACACACACACACTCACAGACACTCAGACACACACACACTCACAGACACACACACACACATTCACAGAGACACACTCACACAGACACACATTCACAGACACACACACACACACTCAAAGACACACTCACACACTCACATACACACACACACACACACTACAGACAATATTACACATACACTCACAGACACACACACACACACACACATTCACAGACACACACATACACCTCTACAGACACACACACACACACACACACCACAGACACACACACTCACAGACACACACAGACACTCAGCCACACACACACAGACACACACACAGACACACACACAGACACACACACACTCACAGACACACACACACACACACACACAGACACACATTCACAGACACACACTCACACACATACATACATACACTCACAGACACACACTTACACAGACACACACATACACTCACAGACACACACACACACACTCACAGACACACACACACTCACACACAGGAACAAATTATTACATTTTAATTTAAAAAAATGCACCCTAAAGCACAAACACACGCCGCGCGTGTGTGTGTGTATGTATCTATATATATATATATATAAATATATATATATATATATATATATATACACACACACATACACTGCTGTGTGTGCTTTTAGTGTGCTGTGTGCTGTTAGTGTGATGTGTGTGTAAGGGTGCTGTTAGTGTGATGTGAGGGTGTTTGTGTGTGTGTGTTTGTGACTGTGCTGTTTGGGTGTGAGGGTGACACTCACAGACACATTCAGACACACACACATACATACACTCACAGACACACTCACACAGGCACACACATTCACAGACACACACACTCACGCTTTCACAGACACGCACACACACTCACATTCACAGACACACACTCACACAGACACACATTCACAGACACACACACTCAGACACACACACACACACACACAGACACTCAGACACACACACACAGACACATTCACAGACACTCACACACACTCACACACAGACACACACTCACACACAAGAACAAATTATTACATTTTAATTTAAAAAAAATGTCCACCCAGCCTCCTACCTGGAGTGCAGTGGGGCAGGCGCCTCTCTGCAGTGCAGCTGTCTGCTCTCTGCTTCCTCTCACCACGCGGGCTGTCTGCTGTAGCTGGGAGCCAGAATATGACGTCATATTCCGGCTCCCGGCATCAGCACGCGGCGAGAGAGAGCAGACAGCACACAGCTCCCTTGGCGCGGCTGAGCTGCAGAGAGGGGGGGGGATCCATCACCTCTTGCCCTCCCCATGACAGGGGAAAGAGTTGAAACAGGGGGCGCTGAGTGCCTGCAGGAACAGCGTTCCTGCTCAAAATAAGTGCAGGAACGCTGTTCCTGCAGGACTCAAACCATAGGCGTGCCACGGGGATTAGGGTATGCCCAGGCACACCCCGTGCGCACGCCTATGATTGTTATAAGATGTAGTCCATAACATCTGGAGTGCCGAAGGTTGCCTACCAATGATCTAGGTAATGCTGCTGCACATTGATGCCTTTGTTTCTTTCATTAGTGGACTGATCTGAAACCAAAATGGGTGGGTATGATGGAGGGGGGAAAGGGATACTGAAGGGATTCCCATAGCTAAAATGCATGCCCAACAATGCAATATGACCACATTTTTAAAAAACAATGTTATATACTTTTCAAATATATTTTTGCTTTATTTTGTTCTGTATATTTGTTTTAAGTGTTTGCTTGCTGGTTTAAAAATCATTGAGTGATGCATGTCCCTTTAACAATTAACAGCTGTAACTGTATATATCTATGGAAAATGGGAGTAGTATAGGATTAGCTTAAGTGATAAGAAAAAATCACTTGTTGAACTTTTTTTTTTTTTTGCTCTAAATTAAATACAGTGCAGTGGTAGAAATCATGAATTGATGCTTAGAAAAGCAATGAGCTTGACAAGCAAAATTGAAAAGTTAGAATTTATAGCATTTAATGAGCAATTTGACATGATGGTTATTACTGAAACATTGTGGGATGATACACATGATTCTTTAGTTAAAAGGAACTTAATATAAAAAATTGTACAACCATATTTACTTTTAAGCACTAACATAAGTGGCATAATGCAACTTTCCATTTAACATAAAAAGCCAATGTATCTAAATACTCTGATTTTGTTACAGCGAGAGACACGTCACCTATACATATTTTAATGTACACATGGGATTCTGTAATAAAGCAGGTGTAGAGAAACTTGGCAAAAAAAAAAATGCTTGATGCTTTTATTGAGAAAACACTTCTAAAAATTATCTTTCATTTCACTGTGTTTTAATAGGGGAATCTTTTGCCCTTTGTGTAAACATCAGAGCTATTTTTGTATAGAAAAAGGAATGTTTTCACACCACACTTTGAGTACTGGGAAAATGCACAGCATACATCCCAAATGTCCCTATTTTGTATCCAAATCCATCTGTTCCATTTTCTATCCTATTCCTTATTCTGCCCCTCCTTTCTAGGAGCTTCATATTGCCATGTGTCTGAGTGTATAACAGAGCTCCACAGCAATAATATTTCCAGTAATGTCTTAAAACTACAATAAATGTGTTTATAAATCATTCTGCATAAATAAGATACATTGTTCTTGTTCTCAAATACAGTTTAGTTGCATAAATTGTTATTAGTAAGTCACTAAAATTTCTCATAACAGCCCATCCCTAAAAATAAAGTATCCCTCTTTATCCATTGCAAATGTTGGGAGGTATGGGACAGAATTAAATCACAGTCACGTATAACCAAGGTGTAATTGGTAAAATAGTATGAATTCATCCTTCATTCCATATAATAGATGAGAGTTAATATATGCAGTGGTAACAACTCACCCAACACCATATCCCATATCTGTGGTAGGGGGATGTCAAGAAAAATAATTCTATAAAAATGGTCCCATCTTATATGATCAAGGAAAGCCAGTACCTGAAGTAGATTTTTGTCCAGGCTTTAAAATTTACGTTTTCAATAGTTGCTTAATTCCCTGGAACAAATAATGGTCATTCACACACATGGCTGGTTCAGGGACAGTGATAACATTGATATGTGACATTAAAAGCACCCATACTATATGGTATAGGGCATTTACTTGTTGAACTTGTTTTTTTATTTTAATGTTGCATAGCAATGCTTGATCAAAACAATACTTTTTTTTTTTTTTTCATAGATACTATACATATTTAAAGAGTGGTAAAGAAAAAATACACTTCCATGCCCCTGAATGCCAATATTTTCATATTGGCATTGCATGACATTTTATTTTAATGGAATGTATAATTGTTTGCTTAAGGGGGTTTTAAATTTATTTGGAGAAACATGGATGTTTAATGTGTCATCGACTAAGGATGCTTTATCTTATGTCCTAACTCCATATCCTCTAGTATTGGAATAGAGTCAATTGTGGATAGACCTACCACTCCATTTATTAAATCCTCAATATTTTATTCAAAAAGCAGCAGATAATCAATAATATACTGGTAATCAACACTCAACACTTTTATCAGGTTCTATCCCAATTTTTCAGGATAGTGTGAGAAAAATATTAAACCTCTCACACATTAAAATTATCCATGAATTATGCAAAATCTTACAATGTGTTTTTATTAAATTGCTACCCCAAGATATAGAAATGACAACAGTTCGTATTTAGTGATATAAATACAAGAACATACATATCAAAGAACAGCAGTTTTCCATAGATTTATCTCTTCCAAAGATTGACACATGTGTAGAGAAACTAGAAGATGAAAAAATAATGGTGCAGTATCCCTAAAACACCACCACCTATGTGCATGACATTGCAATCACAAACATGAATATAAGAGAGCCTTTAATATGAATCAACTTTTCTGCTTAACTCATTAGATCATCAATTCTCAGTAGTAAGGGCATAAGGATGGAATAAAATGAGATACACATAGTGCAGAACTGTAGGATAAAATCATCAGTGCATTTATTTATATGTAATATAAAGGCAGATAATGATATATTTTTGGGAGAGGACTACACCTCTACAATTCAAAGAGCCCCTGAGGAAGTCACCTGAAGTGATGAAACCCATTGGATGGGGAGCATTAGTGACCTCATCACTTCTGAAGTTAATTACATGCTTCTTTTATCTGCTTTTAAATTATGTATATATTAATGCACTGTTCATTTTATTATCTTGGTGTCCTGCACTATTTATAAAACATTTTATTTCATTGAGGTTTTTATCCCCTTACTACTGATAATTGAGGCTCTATGGAGTTATGTAGAAATGCAGATTCATATTGAAGGCTCTCTGATATTCATGTT